GCCATTGTTACAAAACAAACAGAAATTTCTTTACCTTGGCAACCGTTGCTAAGCGATTTTCAGCCAATCATTTTCAAGTAATTATGCATGGGGCAATTACAAAAATTAAGAAAAATGCCCTCTGTCTTGACCAATCACAATTCAGTAATTTTGCCCCTTATATGATCATGGTCATTAACACTCCTGAAAGGTTGAAGTAATCATCAATTACTTACTGAATGATGGACATAAAATGTTTTTTCAATTGAGAAGTTCCACTCAATGTCAACCTTGGTTTGTTACTGTAGTTAGCTAATTTCATGATGTATTTGTGTTCATTTTTCAGTCTGCCACTCAGAAGTTCCCTCGTAATGTCATTTGTAATCAGAAATACAATATCATAACTTTTATTCCACTGGTTAGTATAAATAATTGTTATCAGGGATTAATAAATTTGAATAACAAACAGTCTGCAGGAAATAATAGCCAAAGGATAATTATGGGATTTAGCAGTGGACATTCAACAATTGTCCACTGTTTACAGCTTGAATTGAAATTTGAAATGTTGGTTTTTGTGACGGGAGGAAAACAGGAGGACCCAGAGGAAAACCCTAGGAGCAATAATGTGAAACAACAACAAACTCAACCCACATGTGACCCCAGGTCCAGGAATCTAACCCAGGCCACAGCTGTGGCACCATCCTTGCCTTGGTTTATCAAGAGGGTCATCTTTGTGTGACTTTTCTTTGAATGTGTAAGCAGTATTTTAGAAACCTAAGTTTCCAATTGTCTGCAATCCATACATGTAAGTAAGGGAGATGATTTCTTGACATTTCCCTTTCTTTCACCCTTCTCCAATGATGGGAAACTGTTGTAAATTACATAATTATAAGCATTGATACTTAAAGTACTGTGAGCAGTAAAGATTGAATTTTTTCAAGGACTTTGTTACTTTAACTAAATAAAATTTTTAATTTTTTCAGACCTTATACAACCAGTTTAAATTTTTCCTGAACATGTACTTCCTGGTGGTAGCCACCACTCAGTTTATTCCTGAGCTTCGGATTGGTTATCTGTACACATACTGGGCTCCACTGGTAAGTCTATGATTTACAGTGGACTTGCAATTTTGTTAATAAGTGAATCACGGTATTTGATATTAAAAGTGGTTTGAATAGACTGAGATAAAATCATAAAAAACAAGACAAAAAAGCTTCACTCAGTGTTGACGAACCACATAATGTAACAAACTGTTATGTAGTGAAGACCCAGCTCTAGTTAGTGTTCAGGGCTACAAAATAACGGCTGGTCAACGGACAGTGTCTAGTCAAAATTGGGTACTGACCACCTCCCGGTTAGCTCAATTGGTAGAGCGCCGGACTGTTGTGCGGGAGGTCGTGAGTTCAAATCCGGCCGGACCAACACTCAGGGTCTTTAATTAACTACAAATGAATAAAGGCTGATAGTTTCGAAAGAAACTGTTTGGGGCTGCGTCGGTGGNCTGAGTTGTACTGAAAACAAAAAAAGTCAAGATATATAAAAAGAGAGTTTGTTTGGCTGCTTCTGCAGTAAAGAGTAGTAAAATTATTAACTTGTAATTTTTATTGCCAGACCGACTTGGATTCGGTTGTTTTTTAGTTGTAAAAGGATTACTGTGCAATCTGGGTTCACTATCGCAAGAGTTCTGACTGTTAAAATTTGACCGGCCAAAAACGGGTAGTGTCCGAGCAAAAGCATGTTTGACCGGAAAACGTGACCGGCGACTGCCCGTTAGTTATTTGCAGCCTTGTTAGTGTTTAGTACAATGTAAATAAATATGCATTTGTCTAAGTACTGTACAACACTGATTACACCAGAATACGATGTATGTAGTGTTTTTACCGAATGTTTGCTATTCACTTACTACCATCACACTCCCAAGAGTGACCAAGGAAGAATTTCTCCATACTATTTCCATAAACTTTCAAGGAGATTTAGTTGATGAGAAGAAAGCTTAATACCAACAGGAAGGATATTATTTGATTTATTACCAAATTCTCGATACTGCTTGGATGTATAGTTATGGAAAATCTGTAGCAGGAAGTAGGGAGAAGTGATCTTTAGGTCTTAGAAGCGAGAGGGTTTAGGACTACTTATCTACATGTATGTGTTGAGTAAATGCTTAGCAATTAAACAGGTATTGTCAATCATGCCTTGCACAATGAATAGAGGGGGTAAGTTTCTAAAGAAACTGGTGCTGTGTTGGTGGGAGTGACAAGGTACTTTTGGTTTTATCAACTTTGTAGATAATGCAAATTGGCCACTGTGAAGAATTTAAAAGCTGAAGTTTTGAGCTTTAACCCTTTATCAGTCGCATGCAGAGTGAATTCAAATTCATGCCTTTCACAGTGTTATGCATTTTTTGTGATGTGGCTGTGATGATACATGTCGGTGACTATTGGGCCAGTCATGGCTTGAAATTGTCTGTGGTCACTGATAGATGGAAAGCATTTTAATTTCACAGTTTTCTTTTTAACAACAACTTTATTTCCATCATTTTTTGCAGGCTTTTGTTGTGTTTGTGACAATGTGTCGTGAGGCATATGATGACTTTGTGAGATTTAGAAGGGACAGAGAGGTCAATTCACAAAAATATAAGAAACTCACTAAGAAAGGTTAGTGATGTCTAAAAGAGGCTGTTTTACATGTGTGCAAAATAATGATTTTTATTACGATGATTGCTAATTCCTTTTCTAAATTTCATGAATCAATTCCACATGTTGCTATGATTTTGTAAAAACTAAGATGATAACTACAACAAAAACAAAAAACAAACAAACAAAAGAAGTCAGCGTGGTTGTAATGAGTGGTTTCGTCACTTAACCCTTTAACTCCTAAAAGTGATGAACATGTAACTTCTCCCATTATAATATCCATACACTATCCAACAAACAGGTAATGAGAATACCCAAACTTATCAGGTGGAAGTAGTTATCTTGATCTAGGACCAAATTCTTGTAACCAACATGAAAGGAAATGTGAAAGCAGCTAGAGGGGAGAATTAAGATTGTGGGATTTTAAAGGGTTAACATCTCGTCCAAGTAGATTCAAGCACTCTGACCTGCTGGATACTACAGTGTTGCTGGAATTGTCATGGCATGCTCTCAAATTTAACTCATCACCTTTGTGAACAGCCAACTATCCAGCTTGCCTTTGTTCCAGTTGGTATTTATGAAAAGCGGCATTGGTAGAACAATAATATATTATTAATAAATAATACTTTCAAATGCTTTTGAAAAATGTAAGATGAGATAAAAATACTTGCCCCAAATTAAAAAGTGTGTGATACAGTATAATATAGAAACAGTGAATACTGTAGGTTAGAAATTGAAATTGACATTATTTTTTCAATTACTCAATCCACAGGTGTTGTTACCATTCCAAGCTCAGCTATCAAGGTATCAGACCTTATAATAATTGAGAAGGTATGTATTCAATGGTTGTTAATATCAAAATATTCTAAGCTTTATTGCCATTTTGTTTTTTTTTAATAATGAGCACTGAGCTGTCAATAAGAGGTTGTAGATGGCCAAAACTGCTGGCAATCTGCCATGTCTTCTTTAGTTAAGGGCTGAAAGTTTCGAAACAAACTGTGGTGCTGCATCGGTGGGGGTAACAAGATGATTGGTTATGAGATAAAATGAAATATATGAAGTTCATATATTTTGAACTGCGGTATTAGACACATACGATGCACGATCCTCGCAGTAGATAGTGCTATTTAAGCAATAGCGAAAATCAGGCCTGTACGGGATTCGAACCACTGACCTCTGCGATACTAGTGCAGCGCTCTACCAATTGAGCCAACAAGCCAACTAGTATCGCAGAGGTCAGTGGTTCAAATCCCGTACAGGCCTGATTTTTTTCAGGTCTGATTTTCGCTATTGCTTAAATAGCGCAATCTACTGCGAGGATCGTGCATCATATGTGTCTAATACTGCAGTACAAAATATATGAACTTCATATATTTCATTTTATCTGATTTATCACTTTCACGGGTTTATTACAAATCAACTTAACGACCTGTTCCCAGTTGGCTTGTTAGCTCAATTGATAGAGCGCTGCACTAGTATCGCAGAGGTCAGTGGTTTGAATCCCATACAGGCCTGATTTTTTTCAGGATAGATAGCACTATTTTTCGCTATTGCTTAAATAGTGCTATCTACTGCGAGGATCCTACATCATATGTGTATAATTGGTTATATCAACTAAGTTGAAATTGTAAATTAGCCACCATAACGAATAAAAAAGCTGACGTTTCGAGCGTTAGCCCTTCATCAGAGCGAATGGAGGAATTGTGGGTTGTATTATCTTCTTTAGTTAGCCACTTACTTACTTTGAATTCACTCTACTACAAAGAATGAAACATACAATTCTTGAAATAGTATTAAAGAACATTTTAACTGAGTGGTCTGCACTCCTTGAGGAAATGGCATTTTGTCAGCAATAACCCGACTGCCCACTGTTTTTTCATTTGCCATCTACTTTCAAACTAGAATGAGCATAATTATGTATTTCCAACCTTCAACCACCATTCCCAATAGTTGATGTGAAATTGTGCTGGAAGATCAAATGTTATTCGCTCTGTCATATCCTTTGCCTTTTTTTGGTATTTCACAGGATCAAAGAGTTCCTGCTGACATGGTGTTTCTTAGAACTTCAGAAAAGAATGGTAAAGGTTTTTAATTACAGTCTGTGGTTATTGACAGTAAAATATGTTTAAGTAGAAACTTAAAGCACATCTCTTGAGCATTCTGCTGTATTTTGAATTCCTTTTCTCTTGGAGGATAGTCCCTATTGTGCCATTTTGACTGTACTGCACTGGTCTAATCTTGCACTTCAACACCCTACCAGAAGGCTATTCAACATATTCAGACAAGAGTACTTGACTGCTATTATTATTATTATTTTTTTTTTTTATTCCAGGAGCTTGTTTCCTAAGAACGGATCAAATGGATGGGGAAACTGATTGGAAGCTGCGGTTGACTGTTGGACCATGTCAGCGACTGCCCTGTGATGCTGTGAGTGTTAATGGCCTAATTGCCACAGTAATATTGTATAGTACAGGTGTCTGTTACCACCCCCCCTCCCCTTATTTCCTTCATTCTCACTGCTCATTTTGCAAGATCTGTTATTTTGCATTCATCACTGAACTTAACATTGCAAAAATAATCATTGTCTCAATATTTGCAAGGATAAACTATAGTATTTTTATTTTCTTGTAGGATTTACTGAACATCAGTGCCTCTGTTTATGCAGAGAAACCTCAGAAGGACATACACAGTTTTGTCGGCACCTTTACAAGGGTGAGTTGACTTTTCAGTGCTCTCTGCAAAAGAAACCAACCTGAAACAAACAAAGTGCCAGTACCAATAAGCTTGTTGTGTAATAGCATTCACACAGATGTTTTTCATTTCTTCACAGTATGATGGAGAGAGGACTGAAATTCCCCTGAGTATCGAGAATACCATGTGGGCCAACACGGTGATTGCATCAGGTATGTACTTGTGAATGTTATTGGCACTGCATGTTGTCCTTGCATGGTACCTTCCACTGTGATTTTGAAACAGAAATATTGAAGTTGAGTGAGACCTTGAACTACTGTTAAAATTTAATGTTTGCAGAAACATATACTAATGTTCTTACCAAGTTTTGTAGTCTTCTAAACAGCCATGCACAGTAACACCTATGCAGAGTTTTCTTGTTACACATGATAAAGGAACTGAATAAATAATGTTGTTTTGGAGTCACCTGTTGCAAGGGATCAATCATAGATCAGCTTTAAAAATCTGAACTTTAAACAACTGTCTCACCCCTTTCTCTGCTCTTTCCCCCACCTCAAGGAATTCGGATTTTAATCTTGAAACTTTTTTCATTGGCATTGTTCAGGTACTGCTGTTGGTTTAGTAATTTACACTGGGTCCGAGACAAGAAGCGTGATGAATACCTCAAATCCTGAGACAAAGGTATGATGGATGTTATAGAACTTTGTTTTTGCAGAAATTTGAAGCTGATGGGTTTTGCAAATGTTGTGTGATCCTCTTGGTGACGGTATTTTGGTAAAGGACGCGGTTTTTTCGGGAGTAGTTGACAGTGACTGGCGTTTTGACGATCCCTCACACCAAGATGGTTTGAACACCATGTACACCCCTATGTATACCCCATTACAGAGGGTATCCCTCAGGCAAGCTTGATATTTGATAACTTTGAACGTGGTGCATTTTTTTTTGTCTTCTCAGGTTGGGCTTATCGACAAGGAAGTCAACAATCTGACCAAAGTATTGTTTGTGGCCACTGTCAGCCTTTCCTTCGTCATGGTGTCAATCAAGGTACTTTTGAAAATGAAATAAAAAGAAAATTTATACACAAAACCAAAAATGTATGTTTGACCTATTTCATTTACAAGATAAGTCAGAAAGACCTCAATTACCCCACCCACCCAAACGAAGTCTGAGAGGTTTAACATAATGAAGAGCCTCTAAAATAACAGCTTTTTTTCTCTACTAGGGCTACAATGGACCATGGTATCGCTATTTCTTTCGTTTCATCTTGTTGTTCTCTTACATCATCCCGCTAAGGTAAGTCTACCGGGTAATGTCCTCTCCTATCTGGATTTCGACGTGAACTCGAACGCAAAGTAATCAAGGCTCGAAACGGTGCATGTACATGTTATAAGGAGCCAATCAAAACTCCGGATATATACACGTGACCAGCCTGTAGCGGAGAAAAGTGCGTGTGATATGTTGTAGTTGGTTTTAATTTAGCATCTGATTGATTGATTGTGTGGTGGAGTGTTCTGCAGAGCCAATTGCAAAGTGGTAAAGAAAGCAAAGCCATAGCATTCCGGGATAATTTCCAATACTCCAGTTGATAATTGCTTCGTCATCAAAAGAAGTTGCTGATTTGAAGTCCTCCATGCAAACCCTTTCCATTCATGGCTTTTGGCGTAACAAAAATCCCTTTTCCGTCTTTTTCTATCTCGTAGTCTCCGTGTAAGCCTGGATATGGGTAAAGTTGTTTACTCGTGGATGATCATGCACGACAAAGACATTCCCGGTACAGTCGTGCGCAGCAGTACCATCCCAGAGGAACTGGGGCGAATAGGATACCTATTGTCTGATAAGACTGGAACGCTGACTGAAAATGAAATGGTAATATACTTCATTTATGCTCCTTTCTTTCGTTGTTGTCGGAACTCATAGTGATGTAGTGGTTAGCGGACAGGACCCAGGAACAAAAGGTCTTGTATTTAGCTTGCCCTGGTGGGCTCATTTTGTTGTGTTTTTGGGCGAGACACGTCACTCTCACTGTGTATCGTGAAGGTCTTGGCTTTGTTTTTCAATCCGATCGGAGAGGGGTGGAAAAAGAGTAAAAAGCATGCGTAGCCGGTAGTACAAACGAAAGGTACCTTTGAGAAATGTATCTATGAACGCTAAGCAGTCGAATCAGATTTGCCCCTTCGCTCCTCCTTGCGCGCTGGTCGCGCAGAAGATAGCGTAAAACTGATTACCCTTCGTTCTAGTGACTTTACAAACTTCAATTAATATTTTTCTTTATTAAACAGGTTTTCAAACGTCTTCACTTGGGAACGGTATCTTTTGGAACAGATTCTATGGAAGAGGTAAACTGAAGTCGATTAACTGTCCGAGAGGAGACTGATAATAAGTCGTACTGAGGTCGTGTGTTGTTTGTTACAGGTTACAAGCCATGTGAAGACTTCTTATGCGCCGAGTAGTGGATCAGCGTCCAAAAAACCTATGCAGGGAGCGAAGGTTTGTTCTGTTGCTCTTCTTAGCAAATGTATACTATTACTCTTGGGTCTGACCCGGCTCCAAATAACAAATTATGGACATAACGTACAGCTAGAACAAAAAAGTTATACTGGTTTTTAGCAATGGAAGTTTGTAGGGGAAATATGTTTTAGGGCTTAAGGCAAAAACCAGTCAGTTTCCTCCTTTTGTTCATGTTCTTTCCTTATTCACTTTCAACGTGTAACTACGGTAAGTTATACTTGCAAACCCCTGTCCGCCTTTATATCGACGACATATTTAGCCTTAGCGTTTTTCTTTGGAAGCGAAATCTTACAACAGCTAATTGTTAATATCCTCTTAAATTCTGATCGGAATTCCTGGTTCATGGCACCGTATATGACGGGGTTAACACAGGACGATAGTCCTACAGACGCGGTGTAAATCAGATAAACGTATCTCGGAAAATAGAATTGTCCTTTGAAAGCTCCTACGGTATCTATGACTACAAATGGCATCCAACAGGCGGCGAAACTCAGCAGAATGACAAAAAGAAGTTTGGCCAGTTTCACCTCATCCACGCCGAACTTTCTAGCTCCCGGAGCACTCATTCTTGTCAGCAGTTTTGTCCATGTGCTATTATGCAGTCTTACTGTGCGGAAAACCTTGTAATAGCATAATACGGTCACTCCAAATGGAAGCACCGAGAAGCCGACTATAGTCGTGACAGCGTAATAAATGTTAAGGCTGTCCACATCATAAAAACAAAACGCTTTTCCGGGAAGAAATGCGAAACGATGTCCAGTTGCGAGGTAAGGGATAGGCGTTATAATAGCCACTATCCACGCTGCAACAATACTTCGTAAGGCGTTCTTGGAGCTGAAGTATTTCGGATAATCGACCACGCGTACCATTCTAACATATCGGTTCACAGCTGTGAGTGTGATTGTCAGCAGTGACGCGACGCCTAGTACCGAGCCAGCATAGCCTTGACACTGACAGAGGACCTCCCCCAATAACCAATCGTCCGCGATCAGCGTGACCAAAGTCAGCGGCATTATCAGTGACATGAGCATGTCTGCGATCGAGAGTGAAGCAATGTAATAGTTGGGCACTGTTCGTAGTTTAGAGTTCCTTAGGATTGCCGAAAAAACCATAAAGTTTCCAAAGAAAGCCACAATGATGAGAACTGCATAAAGAGAACATTCGGCTGCCTTCAGGGGAAGTTCTCGGCTGGATATCTCCATGGCTAGAATTTGTTCTCTCGTTGTAACATTGATTGCCATGTTTTATAAATGACAGGAAATGATGAAATGGTCCTCGCCAGTGAACTGATGGCTCCTTCCTTAGTGCACTGTGTTTTAGTAGTTTATGTCTTCGTCTTTGTGCTTGATTTGTAGCAAAGATACCTTTAAGTAAAACAAAGAAAAAATAGTCATTATTTTGCTTGTGGCTCAGGTATGTGTAAAGTTTTTTTTGCAGTGTAAATTTCAGAGAAATTGCACCTCTGCAATAGAATGAAAGCATTCAGCAATTAATTTTAGAGCACACTACTTGAATCTTTGTTACACGATGGGCCAAAACAATTTTTTATCTGTTATTTTGTCAAAGCGAAGAGTTGTCATCAAATAAGTACGATATGGGAGTAATAGAATATGCCAGGTTAATGCTGAGAGAAAGACTACTTGTAAACCAGATGTCTTACGCACAATAGCATTATCTACAAATACGGCAAGTTGATTTAGTAAAGTATATATTGTTCCTAATCTTTTAGCCTTGTATAGAATATACGGCAAGTTGAATTCTTAAAGTATTTTAACGTACAGCTCCCTGCTAAATTTGTGCTAATTTTTGTGGAGAGAGTTCCTCAAACCTACCTTACCTAATCAGAAGTAGAAGAATCTTGTTGCCGAGAGATGATGTTGCTTTAGACTCGCACGACGTATGTTTCAGAAAGTATAATTGTTATGCGTGATTATGCATGAATGCATCGTCACTGATATTATTTTAGTCGGTCACTCTATAATTCCACGCGAATATATGTTGAGATTTGAAATGAATATCTTTGTCTTTTACGTACTCTTAAAATGGAATCATAAATTTACGACCGAATGATATATATCTCTGTCTTACACCTTACAGGTTTCTTCAATTTAAATTTTTTTGATCGCGAATGGCGTTTTTCTTTTTATCATCCTTTCAACCTGTTGAAAGGTGCAATATCTGAACGGGATCATGTGGTGCAGTGATCTGTAAGCTCTTCTTTGTTTAGTTATAGAAACTATTCAAAACTAAACAAAGGAATAAAAATTCTAGGTGGTCTGCCGACAGATCAAAGACCCTAACGATGATATGCAATATATTTGATATGATATTGATTAAAAATATTGAGTGCCGTTGATTGCTATTGTGAAAAAAATATAAATATGGAGTGATGTATCATATCTTAAAAAGAAAATATTCGTTTAAGTAAGGATGGAGTTTTATTTCATTTGTAGTTATACAGTCTATGTTTTTGAAATCGAAGAAAGAAGAACGACAAAAAAGAAGAGGAAGTTGATCTAGTTAAAAAAAAAAGGAACTCTCCATAACTCTGTTAGTTTGAGATCAGGCAGGTTTCTTCGTAGGATTTCTTTTTATCTCTCTGTAAAAGAAGTGAAAATTTTGAAGAATTTAAGGTATTGATCTCTTGAAAATGTACGTGCAAACACTCACTGCAACTATAGAACAGGACAACGGAAATTAACAACAGAAAATCGCAATCACTCTTTTCTGTTCGCAGCCTTCTGTTTGTGTTGTGGCTTCTACGTTAAAGAAGAAGGAACGTTTTTGTCTTTTCTCAAACAATAATGGTACGACCTCTTTTTCAGCGCCATGAAAGAGATTGCACCCCTGTTCCTTTCCGGATTTTAAGTATATTGGTCGTTTCAGAAACAATTTGATCGTTTCAGAAAGTTGTTTTGCCTCCTTGATGATATTTGATCTCCACAATTATTTAGGAAACGATCGTAACGAAGTTTCCAGCAATCGAGAGAACGATTTAGAACATTGAATTACCACTTCACTATTTTGATAATTTGTGTTAGAAACTTCTCCTTATTCCTGAACATTCTGATGAGTTATTTTAAGGATATCGCATCATGAGCGTCTTGAATGTTCTTACTGCTAAAATAGTGTTTTAGAAATAAGTAGGACGTAATCGGTTACCATAAATAAGGCTCGAGATCGTAAGATTTATTAAGGTTTTTCAGAAGTTTAAGATATCACTATAAAGTTATGTCGCAGACCAATAAAGTGTTTTAAGTGGAAAACAGGAATCTTCTCTTGAGTTCGTGACAACGATAATAACTGACTCTTTAGTCACCAATGCACTGCATGTGTGTGATTTATTACGAAACCATTGTAATTATAAAGATTTGATGGGTTATTCTCTGTCATACCAGTTTTCTTGTAAGGTAGTAAAAATAATTTTGTGCTATATCATTTTAAAATTCCTACCTAGGCTGAAATTTAAAGCAGAAGATACGAGGGTCTAAAGAGGACCAGATAAGAGAACTTAAAGGAGATTTGGGCACTATCGAGGCTTCTTATCGGAGTAACTTCCAGGAATTAAAGCTTTAAACAAAAACGAATTCAGTGGAGAGTTTTAATTCTAGTGTTCCAAATTTGTCTGATGTTCTGAAGAGCAGCTCTCCTCCGAGTCTTGAGAGAAAAGCGGGAGTGCATTGATTTTACTTCATACCTCTCTCTCTCATTGGTCTAGAAAACTCTTGTTACGCTCCCTGTCCCAAAACTCAAGCTAATAGGCCTTTTGCAGTTAGAGATCACGTGCTTAGATACCGCGTAGCAACGCCATACTGGAGAGCAAGCACTCCAGTGATCTCAGACAAAATAGGGATCACAGAGGTCTGCATTCAAACAAAGAATACAGCGGATAACAAGTTAAAGGGTATCCCAATTCGAGAAATCTTGTAAGTTTTAATCAACAGCTTCCATGGAGTGTATCAGCGAAAAACGAATTTTGGTGTGATTTTGCTGCTGATACACTCCGGGGAAGCTGTTGATTACTTCTTACTGGATTTCTCGAATGTTTGAATGCAGACCTCTGTGACCTCTATACTGTCTGAGATCACTGGAGTGCTTGCTCTCCAGTATGGCGTTGCTATGCGGTATCTAAGCACGTGATCTCTAGCTGCAAAAGGCCTATTGAGTCTTGTTTACTTAATTTCTTCGCGCTTGAGGACATTTGCTTGGATTAACTTAAAGCTCATTGTTTATGGGGCCTCAGTGGAAATTTTACTTTTAATCCTGTGGAGGAAGAATATGGAAAAGAGGAACGTAGGTAGTTTTTTTGCCACCGAGCATTGAACTTCCTGTATAACTTCTCATTCCATATTCTGCTCTATCTACTTGTTAATTTCAAAGTTTTTTTTATTTTGTTTTTGGAGATTTCAGTGATGGATGACTCGTGAGCACGCAGTATAACCTAAAGGACTTTTTTTCCCCTTTAAAGGTGCGTCGCTCGGTTGTCACGCGTACTTACGAAGCCGTCAAGGCACTTGCGTTATGCCACAATGTAACGCCAGTAACTGACGAGACCGAAAACAACCGCGAGAGTGCTCGAGTGCGCTTGGATAGCGTGACCAGTGAAGATAGTGACGTAGATGGAGGTGCCGCGTGGGATGGAACAGCTGTGAAATATCAGGCATCCAGTCCAGATGAGGTACACAACCGTTGTAGTTAAAGGTGTAGTAACAAGGACAAGTTATCTTTGCCATTGTAGATAAAAAGATATAACCAAGTTTTTCCTTGTAAAGTGGCAACGTCCAAACTCTGACATGATAAATTTCGATCATTGATACTTAACAAGGAAATTTACCATGCAAATGACTTGAAAACTAACTTTGCCTTGCCAAAGCACTATGCAAAGCCAGGCAACATCTGTCTTAATTTCAACCTAAGACAGAAATGAAATTCGCAATATTTCAATTGTTAGTTGGTCATTCGTGTCTTTTACTGCCCAAATCTTAGCCGTAGATCGTAATCGTTTGGCAACTGCCCTACGAAGGGTTCTTTTTGCTATTGTATGTTGGATTTGTCAGTTCCCTTTTTCCCCGGAAAGTCAAAGACCTATTTTTATAGGAAGTTTTAATTTTTGCGTCAATCATTCATGACATAGGTTGCCTTGGTCACGTGGACGGAGAGCGTTGGACTAGCACTGGTTCATAGAGATTTGTCAAGCATGCGTGTGAAGACGCCATATGGTCAGATACTCGTGTTCAACATCTTGCAGATTTTTCCTTTCACTTCAGAAACCAAACGGATGGGCATTATTCTCAGGGTAAGGGTAACATAAAGATGATAACTTTGCGTTCGTTACTTTTTTACCACTCCCACATATCCATAGATTGTTCCCTTACTTCAACTTATTAACAATACAATTTTTTTTTCCACTGGCTTGCATTATGTCCGAGGAGCAATAACTCAGTTCTCTCCTGTTCTTTGCTACTCCAAGTTATCGAAAGGTTGAAGATCACATGGTCTGATTTTGTCCATGCCAATGACAGAATTGTTTATTTTCTTTTGGTTTCGCTTCCATTGGTTTCCTTGCTTCGGTTATATTTTTTCAATGAGTTATTCTTCAATTTATATGAGGCAAACTAACAAACTGAACCAATAATGTTAGCGGGAAAATTACGCATCACAACAATCAATTTAGCTTTCATTTTCTTTATTTTAGTTGTCGAATTGTACAAGTTACCAACCAGAATGGCAGATTTTGTTCCATTTCATTGTTAACTCCAAATGGTATTTGTAATACTACAAGCTCATGGGGCTTGGGCTTAGTGCAGTTTACCCAAGGAAGCTTTTAGTTTATTCTCTGTTGGTGTCCCTGTAGGATATGGCAAGCTCATAACAACTGTCTCTTGTGTGAATAGGGTTAGTGCAATTTACCCGACGAAACTTTCAGTTTATTCTCTGTTGGTGTCCCTGTAGGATATGTCAACAGGAGAAATAACGTTTTACATGAAAGGTGCTGACACAGTCATGAGTTCCATTGTACAATACAACGACTGGCTGGAAGAGGAGGTACTGTATTGTAAGGAGCTCCTTGTAATTATGCAAGTTTACAAATGGGAGGAAAAGGTTTTTTCTCTCTAGAATGGGCTCTTCATCTTTTAGTCTTCTTGAGTAAATGTGATATAAGAACTACTCTCGTGACAAACCTGAGGTTTACCACTCTTATTCTTGAGTAACAACACGGCAATTAGTAACGTTTCTTAATAGGGTTGATTGAAATGCATTCCAAATCGCTGTTACGCATGTTTTCCTTATCCTTTACTAACTTGTGTATTGGGGGGACCCACTTGCCTTAACGCTTTCACGCTGAATTCCGGATTAAAGAAATTAGGTTTAGACCTGGCACATAATATTGCGTCTTTTTCTTGGACAGAACAATCTACCTTTTGAAGTTCCTCTCTCCACCCAGAGTGTAAATGGGTCTCCGAAAATCGTCGAGGAAATATGACAAAATGTGGCAGGGTAGGGGTGGGTGGGGGGGGGGGGGGTAACATGGGATGGATTAACATCCCATCCAGGAGCAGTTGCAATACCCTTGGTCATTTAATGCCGTGGACACTGGGACGAGCTCTGGTGACTTTGCTACTCAGTCCCTTCGGTAGCTGAGACCGTTTCACGAGCGTGTATAACTGTTTTGTTTTTCTCTCAGTGCGGTAACATGGCACGTGAAGGTCTCAGAACTCTTGTCGTTGCCAAGAAAGTCTTGACTGAAGAACAGTATCAAGACTTTGAGGTTTGTACCTTTATCCGCTTATACGCGACTAATTACCATCGAAGGTATTTTCTTGTTTACCTTCGTTTTGTGTTTTATTTGCCGGAATGTTTCTTGATGGTCTCATAAATCCAACCTTACAGTCTCAAGCTTAAGTTCGATTCTTTTTCTGACGCAGTGAGTTGGATGCAGTGTTCTCATTTGTACTTTTCTTGGAAATGGTTCATATTAAATGTTTTCGTTTTTCTTCCCAGCACCGATACAATCAAGCCAAACTAAACATTTCTGACAGAGCAGCAAAGGTATAATCTCTTTGTATGCCAATGTATTTTATAAGCGATAGTGATCATTGGTGCAAGTGAAGTTGAACTTCGCCACAACCGTGTCTTTCGGAACAGAGGAATGTGGCCAAGGTAGAGAAATTTGCCTGTATGGTACTGACGTGACACCTGCTGTTACTGATATTTTTCTTTCATAGTGTAAATTATTTGATATATCGGCACGGATCAAGTGTCATAACGTTTCACAATGAAGAATAGTGGACTTTGTTTAATAGCTTTCGTTGGTTGTGTGGGGAAGTTATTTCGGCGCAGCATTGGCCATTGTCGTTGAGTTATCTGATTTTGAAGCGATCCTTTTGATTTTGCAGGTCATGGATGTTCAGAAAACTTTAGAGCACGATTTAGAGTTACTCTGTTTAACCGGAGTCGAAGATAAACTGCAGGTAAAAGCTTATAGGAAACGTCAAGGATTAAATTGAGAATTGCGTGATTTATCATTGACTAGCTGTGCCACTTTTTGAGGTTTAATTTGATTAATTATTCTGATGTTTTTTCTTTCATCTCTCGTTGCCCGATGTTCGAAAGCTAATCGCCATCCGTTTTATTTTCCAGGTTGATGTTCGTCCCACGCTTGAGATGCTTCGAAATGCAGGAGTCAAGGTAACGTGACCTGTAAGATAACGATAGAGTCATCTTGAATCGGTGGAGGCGCGGTGGCCTCATGGTTAGTGCGCTCGACTCGAGATCGAGTGGTCCAGGTTCGTGCCCCGGCGGGGACATTGTGTTGTGTTCTTAGGCAAGACACTTTACTCTCACAGTGCCTCTCTCCACCCAGGTGTTTAAACGGGTACCGGCAATTTAATGCTGAGGGTAACCCTGTGATGGACTGGCATCCCATCCAGGGGGGAGTAGAAATACTCCTAGTCGCTTCATGCTACAGAAACCGGAGTTAAGCACCGGCCTAATGGGCCATTAGGCTCGTAAACAGACTTTACCTTACCTTTACCATCTTGAATCGTTCAAGGGTTTGTTTGTCCAGTAAAACGTCTGTGAGCGTAGATGTTGGTCAGGACCGACCTACCGATCGATCGACTGTCTGACTCACAGACAGACCAACCAACAAGGGGTTTTTTGAGAAAATTGTTTCAAGAGTTTGCGTGCTTTTCGTAATTTACTTTCAGATATGGATGCTAACAGGCGACAAACTGGAGACAGCCACATGTATTGCCCAGAGTTCACGGCTTGTAGCAAGAAATCAAACTATCTACACATTTAAACAGGTGAGTCTGGGATTTTGCGTCGTTTCCTCGAGCATTTTTTATATCCTTTTTTTTTCTTTATTAAAAAGCAAACCCTGCGATGTCTTCGTGCATACAATGGAACCTCCATTTGGAAACACCCTCGGGACTACGACTAACTGTCGCATTTGTAGGTGTACCTTTCATGACGAGAAGAAATGTAGAAGTTCTACAGTGAAACCTAAATTCCGCGGTCACTGTTAAAGCTAGGGAATGTCCCTTGACCAGAGAAGCAGATTCCTGTTGACAGGACCTCAGTTTTTGTCCTTCGAATGGAACTTTTCCCGTGACACTTCATTTTCTGATCACAAACAATAAATTAATGGCAGAGGAAGCAGCCTTGGGGTTATTCGATTTATTTTTGTTTTTAGATAAGTAATCGTTCTGAAGCACATCTGGAGCTAAATTCATTAAGAAGAAAAAATGACTGCGCGTTGATTATTAAAGGAGACTCTTTGGAGGTGAGGTTTTCACAGCCTCGTTCCGAGAGAGATTCGGAAACGAGGCTGAGGCTTTAAATTATTTTTCTTTCCAATGATAACTGAAGTTTTCGACAAAACTCCTTGAAGAAAATGTTGTGTTCTACACGGTGTAAATTGTGGTTTGTGTTTAACGAGACTACCAACTTCGAAACATCAGTCGGTTTTTTTAATCGCCAACTTCTAAACTCTGTGTGAAATCCCAAGAGTTTTTTGTCACTCTTGTTCCAAGGGTTCCCACGACTGATGAATTCTTCACGGTGGCCTGAAGAATCGAATTATTTTTTCCCCAAATCCTTTGTTTTCGTTTAATCATTGCTTTTAAAAGCATCAGTGAGTGCGTTGGAGAAATTGATTAAAGAAATGTGCTGTATGGAAAAAAGGCTCACATACTTGGTCCCAGAATATCTATATTTGTATTTAGCAGAGCGTCTTTTCTTCCTAAATAGCTTTTGCCAAAACAGGTTTTTAACCTCCCTTCCACTTATCAGATCTGCATACATCATTACGAACAAGAGTTCATGGAACTGGCCTGTCAGTGTCCCGTTGTGGTGTGTTGCCGTTGTTCACCCCAACAGAAGGCTGACATAGTCAGATTACTGAAGAAACATACTGGTAAAAGGACATGCGCAATAGGTGAGAGGTTTAGAAGAGCTACAACGGTCGAAAGATTAGTGAGGTTTGAACTCTTCAGCCCCTCTGTCTCTATAATATAATAATATAATATAATAATATTATAGAGACAATGTATAATATTGAGGATGATATATTTTCAACTGCAGAGAAAGGTCTTCCCCCACTTTACGAGAGGGATTTCGCTCTTCTTCTATTTCTCATTCTGATACGAATCCTTTGCATTTTGATTTTTGATTTTCTCAGGCGATGGCGGAAATGACGTCAGTATGATCCAGGCAGCGGACGCCGGAGTGGGCATTGAAGGAAAAGTGAGTTGAATTTTAATAATATCAACGAAACTGATGACTAACAACAATGGTTAACCCAGTATTCTTCAACATAAAAATTGTAGTAATGACAAGAGATGTGTCCTGACTGAGAATTGGCTCCAAGCCCCCGCAACATTCTTTGCTCATGGCATAGTTTTGGCAGGGGTAAGGATCTTGTGAGGAACTTGCTAGTCTGGCGAAATGGAAAACGCTACACTCAGAGTTGCCGAAAACGTTTGAATTCTCTCCACCAAACAATGAGAAAATTTTAATAGTCCGAATGGTTACTCATCATGATCTTTCTAATGTGTTGCTGCCGGGTAGAAATGATTTTATTTGATGCCCACAGGAAGGTCGACAAGCCTCTCTTGCAGCAGATTTCTCCATTACACAGTTTAGATATGTTGGAAGATTGCTAGTGTGGCATGGTCGAAACAGGTTAGCAAAACGGTTTTCTATTCTTTATGTGGTCTGTCTGGATTACCTCCGCCAATCTCTTAAACAATCCGCCAAGCTGAGTCACTTGAGATCTCCAGGGTTTCAGGTAGTTTATTGCTTTTTTTTTTTTTTTTTTTTGCTTTTTTTCACTTGAAGGTCTAACTGACTATCTGGAATATTTGCGCTGATTTGTCGTTTCTAATTTTTCTTTGCTTCACAGTTACAAACGCTCGGCAGCTCTCAGTCAATTTGTGATTCACAGAGGCCTGATCATCTCTGTGATGCAGGTAAAAGAGTACTCAGTGACATTGAAAAAAAAAAACAAGACACAGATTCGTTGCATTGCAAACTTCCGTCCGCTCAGTTTGATCCACGTTGATCTCGGATGAGTTAAACCTGTGCCCCACTGTAAGCTTTGACACAACATCCACAAAATATTTTCCCAGGTTTCACGCGGACAGTGAGGCAATTTACCATTTATTATAGTTTTTACATCTTCCTCTTTATCTTGCAGGCAGTTTTCTCTTGTGTGTTTTATTTTGCGTCAGTTTCCCTTTTCTCGGGATTTTTGATGATCGGGTAAGTTAAGTATAATAGTGCCTGCCATTCACGGAAACCGCATATTTTTTGGAATGTGGTCATTGTATGTAATGCTGGTTTAAAATACTAGGCGTACAACAATTCGTGGGAGACGTAGAACTGTGGATCGTAAGGTCCAGGCTGGGGTCATTGTACCGTACGACCCTCCCCACCCTGGGGTATAAATTGGACGATGGCAACTACTCGGTCAAATTGACTAAATACCTGGCCACTTACAATGGACTAGTATCCATTACAAACGGGGAATAGCTACCAAAACCTAGGTGAGCTGTGGCGGCTACGCGATTCAGTCTCCTTAACTTACATGTGGCTCCAAGTTAGAATTGCTGTGCTATGATAAGTCTCTGCTAATCACCTCTTTCTCCAACAGGTATGGTACCGTATATACAATGTTTCCAGTTTTCTCTCTTGTGTTGGACGAAGATGTTCCATCTGACATCGCCTTAATTTACCCCGAGCTATACAAAGATCTAGCAAAGGTTGGTAAAACTATAGAAATTACTGTCACTGCTTTTCCTTCAGGTTTTCTGTCCTTGATGTCGGCTCGGATAATGTTGAGGCAACTAACAGTTTTTCATTTTTCGTTTTGGTATCCATAGGGAAGGTCACTCTCGTACAAGACTTTCTTTATTTGGGTTCTGATCAGTATATATCAGGGTAAGTGTTACTCACTCACGAACAGAGTCCCTCCGTGATGGACGTTTTTATTACCTAACAAAGTAGAACAGACGCACATTTTACAACTTGTGAAATTAGCTATAGGATAGGACTATGGTCGGCAAAGACATGATTTCCTAGTATTGCAGAAGTCTTTTCCTTTTGAGTTGGTAAAGCATGTTTTTAGCACTCATTCTGTTCATTCGCAAAATTCGTTTCGTCGCGAGCAAAATCAGCGATACGTTACAGGAACTCAAATCTACATTTGTTACGCGACCATCCAAAACATCTTAACTCCCCCAGTACCTTCTATAGCGAGTTATTACACGACTCGGGCAGTCAGAGGGCCAATAACTAAAATCAACCAATCAAAATGCTCTATTGCCGGTCAATATTCTCTCAGTATTGGACCGGGCACTGTCCCGAATGGTCCCGAATGATACCGCACTTGTGTCCCTTTGAACTTCAGTCGTGTAATAAATCTCTTATTAACCAAGCTTGCTCGGGACCGTACTGGAAGAATATCGGCCCTCGGTCTTTTTTGTACTGACCTCGCTGCGCTCGGTCCGTACTGTCAAGACCTCGGGCCGATATCCTCCCAGTACGGCCCTCCCGCTCGGTTAATAAGATATATATAATCACTGACTCCTCAAATCAGCGGAAGGTCACGGGGCTTTCCAAATATTCAAAATGTTGAAGGACTTGAAAGGATAAGAATAAATCGAACTTCAAATTTATGCCGGAGCACACAACTACAAAACATTGCGTGATTCCCAAAATGAACTCGAAGTGTTACTAGTGAAGTTAAAACGTTAAGCAAATGCTAATCCACTCGAAGCGCGTCTGATGACATCGTTTTGCTTTCCCTCCAGGTGGCATCATTATGTTCGGCGGCATTCTTCTATTCGATCAGGACTTCATCCATGTAGTGACTATTACCTTCACTGCTCTGATTCTTACTGAGCTGTTGATGGTGGCGCTTACAATACGTACGTGGCACTGGCTCATGTTGTTAGCTGAAGTCTTCAGTCTTGCAATTTACGTTGGGACGCTTGCAATATTCAGACGCTCCTTTGGTAAGTTTTGTATCTCACCTGTGTAGCCTGTGGACAGAGCAGAATCACGTATACCCATGCGCTAAGTTTTGGCGCGGAAAACGAATTTTGAGTCGTTTGTATAGTTGATTTCCTATTCTGTTGCTTCGTGGCTTAATTTTCCTTGCCGCTTTTCTTTTACAGAACAACCTCCTCTGTACCCCCCTAAATATTAATTTTTTCCTTAAAAACTTTGGAATAACTAGATGCCTTCGATGACAACAAAATGTCTCGGTTTTAAATGCCAGCGCTCATTATTTTCCGCGAATTTCGCCAAATTTTAAACCTCGCACGCTTGAGCCAGCGTTGTTGACCGTATACCCTTTGCCGTAGCATTTCGTTATTCAGCTCTGTCAAGCCTGTGTCCTACGCAAAAGTTCTACTGTTTGCGAACGCTGCCTCAGGCACTCTTAGGCTTATTTTGGATTGAGTACGCTTATTTTGGATTGAGTAAAGCGAGTAGATAACCATTAGGTCATCACATCTTGGGAGATTTATACTGTTTCTTGCTTGTTAAACCGGAATTTATGAGATGTTAGAAACCAGTGTAACACAGAAATCTCATTGATGTTCACACGTTCTCATGCTATCTTGTATTGCCTGGCTCTCACTCAGCAGTGACGTCACGTTCTTTATTTTACCTTTCAGACGAAAAATTTCTCATATCAACTGAATTTTTGTGGAAGGTAGTGGTCATCACTTTGGTTAGTTGTTTACCGCTGTACATTTTGAAGTATCTCAGGCGCAAGTATGCCCCACCCAGCTATTCAAAGCTGACGAACTAAGGATGGTGACCGATTTGCAGCTCCTGTACAGATTTGATCGTCCCATAACTAAACTAAAATGCGCGTGATAGATTTAGGAATCGGTAACAAATTCGAATGACGGTTATTGGGCCATTGAACTGTATAGGCATAGGGATATATTTTTAAACAGTAAACAAATAGAGTAACCGTATGCGGTCGGTCGACCAGAAACTTATTCAGAAAGTGGAGTTCACGTTTTCATTGCTTTACTAACCAGGTAGACCCCACCCCACCCCCGAGATTAGAAAGTCTTGCTACTATGGTCGGGTGGGTAGGGGCACGCCTAGGATTTTCTTACATGCCTTAAAATACTACTATGTCAAAGAAAGCTATGTGCCAGTTGCGCGGTTTTTTTTTGTTTTTTTTTTGTTATTACTCAAACTCGACATTTGCAATCCGTTTGTATCTGCTCCATTCATTTCTCTTTTCTTTCACTGTTTCATTTGTTTTCCTCGCAAGAATATATTTGGTTTTCTCCACGTAATTAACTCGTTCGTCCATATATCGTGACGTTCCGCCTTCAAGAGGGTGCTTTCCAATGTGGTAGGAGAGGAAACGCAGTTAATCAATGATTGTTTAATTGTATAGCTAGAAGTTAATCCGAAACTGTCAGTATATTTAGTATTCTTTAAGTTTTTGTGCAGTCAAGGATTTGATTAGGATAGCTTCAAACTATGCAAATTAATGGACAGTTTTTTCCTCAGACAGCCAGATTGGACTCGGCCTATGGCCTCGTCTAATTTTGGGTTTCTTCTGAATTTTATATTTATCCAGTTACTCCCAAATTGGACAGCATGCAGTCCTATTACATGTAGTATTTTTTTTTTCGGTCCAAGAGAACTGTAGGTAGTTTCTTGCTTCTTAACCTTTCCATTCTAAATCGTATGGCGTTCTGCCCCCTCCTCGTCCCTTGTATACTCAAGTTAAAAATTAAGCTGTTACAAAATTCATTTTTGTATTTTTGTTGTAAATTTCACTAGGCAATAAGAAAGGTAAATAATTCAGATATTGTTGCTAAGTTATTTAAGATTTGTGTATCACCTTTCAAAGGCAGCAGACGGTGGGTGGGAAGTAAAATTAATTTTTGGATCTTTGGAGTGAAGGTGCTGGTGTGGTTCATGTAAACGCACATGATAAAATTTGTTGGTCTTCTTCTGTCTAGGTATTCCTTAATTTGGTCTCAGTAACATTCCGAAGAAAAGTAAAATAAAACACTTTCAAATAAAAGACAAACAGAAACGTTGTATTTAAATTTTTATTGATATTATAACGGGACAAAGTAAATGAAATCTTGGCAAATTAAATACATTGTATATTCGACCTGTGGAAAACTCTGAAAAAAAAAATCTTTCATTAGCGCAATAATTCTCTCGATTCATAATTATCAAGCGCCATCATCCCTATAACAGTGTGCCATCTTCCAAAACTTAAAGATGTCCTGTCCTTCATTCAGTACAATACTTTTAGTCGTTAACCACACTCCACCCCTTCCAGCACCACAAAAACAAATGATTCATTCAAATTACATGTTGACATCACTCATGCGTCTTCAAAACGTAACAAAAGATTAAATTGATATTAAAGTCTTTTTCTCTGGAGACATTTCTCTCTCAAACACAACATTATTTACTATGACTTTTTGTTCAACTGTCTTCCCGCAAAGATTCAGCTTTCTGTAGGAATACTATTTAGGGTGTGCTCGTTTCAGTTTGATCTTAGAGGTTCTTCATGTTCATAGGAGATCCAAACCCTTTTCTCTGTGTCTGCTCTTTTAGGCCGTCCCGCTCTCCTCTTCTTCCCTACCGACAGAAAAGAAATTATAAGGGAATAACAGAGGAAAGGCGCCTGAAGTTGTGCAACACTCGGAAGCATGAGATCAGTGAGGGGGCGACAACTTCCCAATCGGAGCTTTAGGCGCAATTGATAACTAAAATACGGCGCACAAGTAACCATTGCTTTGTTTCAAGGGAGCGTGGCGCGAAAGCGCGAGCATCTTAAGCAAATATGGAAGAAGCACTGAAGCCGTCGGGATGGAGTACTGACTGAAAGAATTTTCAATGACGCACACTGTTGACTATACAAATGTACATTTAGTATCCAAAAAGGCCATCTTGGTCAGCTGCCACTTTTGTGAGTGACACCTACCGTGGATTATTTCAATATTCCAAAATTCTTTGTCTACTCACTTCGACCAAGACGATATCCCTGACCCAGTCTTCTGTTCTGTCCAGGCTGACACTAACAGGGCGTTGCCTAGCCACAGGTGAGAGGGCACAACTGAGTATAAATTCTCTGGATAAGCCTTCTATAGTTGAAGCGCGTTCTGCACTGACCCAAGCTTGCTCTGTGTGATTACTTTGACCTGTTGCGTTTGCTCTTCCCTCTAGTGCTGCAAAAAGATCCTCTACCAATTGATGCTTCTCTTCCCCACTGTCCTCCTTATGGCTGGGGCGTGCTACGTCCGGGTCATCGGTATACCTCAACTGTTAAATAATCGAAAGAAAATTTGAGGGGAGAAAAACTAACTTCACTCGCAGAATGCTGGATGAACAATCTTAAAAATAAGCTCTTGACATACACGCCCAGAGGAATCATACCAAGCCGTATCATTTAACAAGGGCATCCTATTGTCACGAGAATGCCTACTGCTCCGGAAAAGAGAGAGAGTCTACTAACTTACTACACAAGTTTAATTTCATGTATTTGACCACCCATTTAAAAGGACCATTTACTCATAATGCAATGATGGTCCTCTCAATGAGGCTCCATTGTTTAGTGTATGCTGGGTGGAAATCTACACGTTTACAAACGCCGAAAGTCTCTTTCAAATCTAACCCTCTTTTAACCCCTGAATTTTCTTTCCTTTCGTAGGTTTGTTTTGACAGTGTCATGAAATTAATACAAGATGTGATTTACATAATTATTAAAAACTATTTAGTTTTCTCTCATAAACAGAAAGCATTGGAGGGCAGGCAAGAGACAAGAAAGAACAAGAGGATACTAAGTAGTAACCAGCGGCAGATCTAAGGGAGGGGCCTGGGCCTCCCCTATTTTGGGTAAAAAACAAAATAATTGCAGAACAAGAAAAGCCGGCTAGCATACACACAACCCCCCCTCCCTCATAATAGCTCAAGGGCTGGATCCGTCACCGGTAACAGATACATGTAATTGTTCCTATTCCATATAAACCTTATAATTAAAAACTGGATCATTGGATAATGCAATTCAAGACTTTTTATGGGCTTAGCCATTATGGTATATGAGCCAAAATACCATAATCTACAAATATGGTAAGTGTACGTGTCAGCTTAAAATCAAAAGGAGCTAAAAAATCCGGTTTCTTCTTACAAAATAATAATTTCTTGGGGGCGTTTTTAATAAAACAATTATTCCACTCGCGCCTGTTGGATATGAGATGATTATAGCCAACTCGGCGCTACGCGCCTCGTGGCTATCTATCACCTCATATCCAACGCGCTCTCGTGGAATAATTGTTAATTATCTAACGAGCAAAAGTTATGTTAAAGTGTAGTGTGATCGTCCGGGTGAGTGTAGTCCTGAGAGGAACTGTTGTCGGTGGTGATGACTGACGTTTCGACATGAATAGAAAATAGAACTATTCACTTGACTCTGACTGATGATGACTTCCGCACAGGTTGTCGAAACATCAGTCACCACCACCGACAACGGTCCTTCTCAGGACTACACTCACCCGGACGATCACAATACATTTTCACATGTTACCCCCGGGTTCAAACCATTTAGCACAGAACAACTGTTATTTACATATTATTATCGGTGTTTTTCGGGGCCGAAAAACCGCAAGAGGGGAAGAAGAAAACGTTTTTTTGTGATGGAAATAATTTCAGCCTTGCGTGAATACCACTTGAGTATGTTACATCTACATCAGTATCAGTTTGCTTCCTGTCAATGTCTTCGGCAATGAACGTTTCAACTACCGGTTTTAATGACTGAATTGTCCTTTTATAAGTCCACAATGAAGCTCAAATTATCCCAAAAACTTTCTTAAATCTCAAATACATTACAATAAAATACATAGCATATAGCGCAACGCTTCTCNTTTTCTCTCATAAACAGAAAGCATTGGAGGGCAGGCAAGAGACAAGAAAGAACAAGAGGATACTAAGTAGTAACCAGCGGCAGATCTAAGGGAGGGGCCTGGGCCTCCCCTATTTTGGGTAAAAAACAAAATAATTGCAGAACAAGAAAAGCCGGCTAGCATACACACAACCCCCCCTCCCTCATAATAGCTCAAGGGCTGGATCCGTCACCGGTAACAGATACATGTAATTGTTCCTATTCCATATAAACCTTATAATTAAAAACTGGATCATTGGATAATGCAATTCAAGACTTTTTATGGGCTTAGCCATTATGGTATATGAGCCAAAATACCATAATCTACAAATATGGTAAGTGTACGTGTCAGCTTAAAATCAAAAGGAGCTAAAAAATCCGGTTTCTTCTTACAAAATAATAATTTCTTGGGGGCGTTTTTAATAAAACAATTATTCCACTCGCGCTTGTTGGATATGAGATGATTATAGCCAACTCAGCGCTACGCGCCTCGTTGGCTATCTATCATCTTATATCCAATGCATGCTCGTGGAAAAATTGTTAAGTAGAAAATGTAAGGACTACCTAGCTTACCATAACCTTGATCTTAGCCAGCTGTGCTTTAGCATGGTTCACACAGTTACGACGACCAGATATAAACAGTTGAGTGTCTAAGTAAAGACAGAGACGAGACTGTTACCAAAGATGTACAGGCAAAGAAAAACTTAAAAAGGTATACATTGGACAACACACCCACAACAGACTTGAGGAAAAAGACTCTCTGATAAGTACCAATATGTGATAGAAACCTGAATAAGCTGCAACACTAATGGGCAGCATTTTTTGTAGAGTGTCCAATAGATTATTGAATAATAAATTTAGAAAATAATAAACACCTGAAAGTACCTTCGTGGAAAAAAAAAATTAGGAGAGGAGTGAGGTGAAGTGTTGGACCTCGTACCAGAACATACCAAATCCATACAGATCTGAGCTCAGTTTTTTCTCACATATACACTCTGTGCATGTATTAAATAAACTGCATGTTTGGTGTATATGCCTTCAACTTACCATTAATCATTGTAACACTTGCCATTGAAAAAAAGGCCAGTCTATCAGCCAGGATGCTACATCCATCTGACTGGAGGTGCTCAAGAACCTCATCTGACAGAGGAACAAGTGCACCCTGATTCAAGATAAAAACAAGCAGTATAATTGTGAATAACCAAATATATGTAATTTATTGTAATAATAATAGCAAAATATAGTATCAAAATAATAAAGCTATCTTAAGAATGGAACAACTGCAATCAGTCGCCTTTGTGGAACGTGTATACTAAAGAAGCACTCACAAACTGTTCTTGGAGGGAAGCTATGACACTGTACACTCTCTTTTTGGCAACCTGACAAAGGCAATAAAATGTCAATCATTAGTTCAAAGATAAAGGCTGATAGTTTCGAAAGAAACTGTTTGGGGCTGCGTCGGTGGGAGTAACGAAATAATTTGGATATATCAACAAAGTTGAAGTGGTAAATTGGCCACCGTAACGATTACAAAAGGTGACGTTTCGAGCGTTAGCCCTTCGTTGGAGCGAATAGAGGAATTGTGGGTTGTGTGTGCTTTTAAAGGCAGAGAATGGAGCTACGTTATTGGTGGGAACATGGCAACGAGAAAAACATGAATAAATTAGTGGAATGAAAAGCGTTCGTTGATCCCTGTGGGATTTAGACTGCCGGTTTGAAAGATGAGCTTTTGTTCAAGATTTTTACGGCTTTCCGTGCTACCTAAGTGCAAGGAAAGACCGCAGATTGCCATATGTTGCTTAGAATGTTTAGGTAAATTAAAATGTCTAGCGACTGGTTTCGATGTGTCCTTGTCATTCCTTTCCAAGTCTCGAAGGTGTTCTCGGAATCGGTCACCTAGTCTTCTGTTAGTTCAAAGATAAGTGCAGGCAATGATACAAGGTTGTGGCTAAGATTTTTTTTAAAGAAATGCATGCAATCTGCTCTTAACCACACATCAAAACCTCAACAACTAATATTAATGTTCAAACAAATCACAACAGACTGTTGAAAAACATTTTGTTCCAAACTTTCAGGTGGTGTTTCAATATACCTTGCACTGCTGAGGGTGACCAGTTATTGTAAGAACACGCTTTTCTCTGTTGGTGTGTATCCTACAGCCAATATCAACCTGTGTAAAAGAGCAATTTAACAGAATTATTAGTCCATCCATTTTGAAATCACTGGTGGTCCCTGTAATCTGATTGGCTCTAATTGGTGCGATTTATTCACAAATTGCACCATTTTTTTTTTATCTAAAATTTAATTGCATCTTTTTCCCAGCCAATGAGGAAGTTACACTTAAAACAAACAACAAATCAGATTTAAAAGTTTGTTTAAAGTGACCAATCAAATTGAAGGAAAATGAAAGACAGTATCATTTGGCAAATTTTGTTTCCAAAACTCTTATTTCTCCCCCCCACCCCCCCCCAAAATGGATGAATTTAATTTCTTCTAGTTTATGAATGATAACAATAAGATTTCAAAACGATTTCAAAATGGATGTGATAAAGTGATAATTGAACCTTGTGCCATGCAATTTTGGTCTAAAATCATACATGTGATTTCAAATTGAACTCGCGCTGCGCACTTGTTTGATTTTGAAATCACGCGGCCGTATGATTTCAGCCCAAATTGCCCTCCACTCAGTTCAATTACCATTATCAATATGATGTTAGTGTAAGAGGTTAGTGTAAGTGATCTTGTAGGGTCAATTCCCATGTATTTCTATCTATTCAATTTTAGTGTACAGTAAACCTGAAACTGGATGAAACTCTGCCAGTTAATTGTTGATGGTTTTTTTTTTGTTTCTAATAACTACTTTTCTCTTCCTTTGTTTCTGTTTGCTATTTTCCTGTTCACTTAGTATGCTTTTCTTTTCTAATTTAATTTTTTTTAATACTTCTGATCCTTCCCGTACTTCAATACTTCCAGTTTCAGTATGGTACATGTGTCTTATACGCGAATGCTGCATGCAATAAGCAACATCAAAATACCTGAATTTCTCTCAGTTGCCACCCTTTTAAATCTGCAAAAAATTAACACAATATTCATAAAACTATTTACCTTTAAATCAACAACTTAAAACATTTCAAAGCAAACATAAATTGAACAGTTCAATGTACAAGCACGTTTAAAAATACCACTGAAGGTTGATACAAAATCAGACATTCCTCTCATACAGTTGATTGCTGAGAACACTGACCTTGACTCTCTTCCTCTGTCATTTGAATCTCAACAGCCTCTTCCTCTAAATGCTCAGTTCTGAAAAGGTTACAAGCAGCAAATAAGGAAATAAATTAAAGCAAAGTGAGTTGCGTCTTTCACCAAATAAATTGTGATCATGGAGTTATCACCCATGTTGCATAATGATGAAGCTCACATCATCAGTGTAAATGTGCAGTAATGTCCTGAACATCTTGCAGGAACTTACAAAATACACTGAATGAGTGTACGTGTAAATGGTGCAAACAACTAAATTAAACATGTTCTCAGCTACTGACAACATATACGAACATCATGTAACAGGTTGGGTGAAAATGTTGACTTCATTTCTTCCTGTCCTCTTCTCATCGTTAAAAAAAGGAGAGAACATGCCAACATTTAGATTGCAGGTACATGCAGAGTGTAATCTGTATCAGTAAACCAGAGTATAACCACAGGGTCCCCACCTTTCTGCATTGTCAAGTTGTCCATCTGATTTTGGAAGCCCAAAACCTCTCTTATTTCCTAGAAAATAATGAACAAAATAAATGTTAGTGCAGTACAGTACATGCATGCAATCACAAAGATGGTTCACATTGACAAGCAACATATACTGTAAACATGTAGATTCATAGAGATGTTATTCTTCATGAAATTGGCATTTCCATCATTGTAAGCAACATTTGGAACATGCATACGTATTATACTGTATATACATGTAATAAGTGATAGCATCATTTTATGTTACGCACAGAACCAACAAACCTTTTTCATGAGAGTTTTGCCTTTCGAGCTGTAGATCACTCAGGCTACTTCTCCGTGTCTGTTGACAAGCCATAGAGGTAAGATCTTGTTTGGACTCATCCAAACTCATGGATTTTCTATCTCGCCAGTTTTTCTGATCAGAACCACTGCTCTGAAAGTTAGTGGGCTTTCCAGGCTTTTCTTCCCTCCAGTTTTCCCCAGACAAACTTTTAACATTATTGTTCTGTTGTTCTTTAAAAGCCACGCCTGGTCTTTCCCTCCAATTTCCCACAACTGACTGCCATTCACTGACACCTTGTGATTTGTTTAAACTTGGCCTTTTACTTTCTCTCCAGTTGCCACTAAATGGGTCTTTTGAATCTACCAATAGCTCTTCCCTCAAGTTTTCTGTAACTGCATGATGGCCGTAGACATCCACATGTGATTTGCCAATGTCAGATAGTCTTCCCTCTCTCCAATTTACAGTATATGCCTTAATGGCATCATTATTTTGTGGTTCTTTCAAATGAGGTGTTCTCTCTTTCCAGTTGTCAGTAACTGTATAATGACTACTACCATCCCTCTGAGACTTGTCTGCTTTAGATACATTTCTTTCTCCCCAACTCTCAGCAACTAAACTATTATCACTTGCATTTTCCAAGGATTTGTGAGAGCTCAACACTGTGTTTTCTTCCCAGTTTTCTCTGCCCCTCTCTGTGTTTTGATTCTGCTGATCAATGTTTGAATGGTGCTCTTCTGGACCTGATACAATGGATGTGACTGGACAAGCATTAATAGCTAGCTCAGAAGACAGGTCCTTGACCTCAAAAGGGTTTATCAAATCTGATGAAACCTTTCCAATGGTGGCCACGTCATCATCAATCATGTTTTCTTCTGTATCCGACAATGACAAAGTTGCCATTTTTGTAACTAAACTTTCAGTATCTGAGCTTCGCGATGAATCACCCTTTGAGGGACGTCTTGACTTTCTAAATTCTCCTCTATGTATTGCAGGAAGAACTTCATCTGTTCTCTTCTCAGAGCCCTCTTTCTTACTTATGGCAAAAGTATCATCACTACCATCACTAGAGTTGGAAGGAAAGGGAGCTCTGTGAAGAATAGTGTTAGTAAGAGGAACATGGGACCCAAGTCTATCAAAAGATACAGGCTGTTTAGCTGATTTCTCACCATCACCACTTGAGTATAATTTGAGATAAGTCTCATTGTCTTTCTCCTTGAGAATGGAATCCTGAGGTAATGTAAGCTCTTGCTGCACGTCCCCAAATGACTTTTGCAATTCAGATTCATTAATTCTCAGCACTGCAACAGGCTTGATTCTCCTAAGATCAGTGCCCTCTGCTTTCACATTGACCATTCTTGGTTTATTTCTTGAGGAAATTGCTTCAGGTTGGATCTTCTGAGGCTGGTCAAAAAACTGCACAGAGAATGTAAAACAATTACTTAGGCAAAACATACATGTAACAAGGCTTGAATGAGAGATTTACATGTGCATTAACTAAATACATTTCATTGAACTGCAATAGGTCAGGGGGATCATCCTTAAAAGAAGAAAACATTGAGTAAGGTATATACTGCATACTCAACCTTTTCTGCCGTTAAATACCACTGATTTCAATCTCAAAGGAGGTGTCATAGGACAACTTTTTTCCATGCTACATATACCGGTATGTTTAGCACCAATTGTTTAGAAGTTTAGAAGTTTAATACATTCGCCATAGTACAACAAATACAAATAACTAATCTACATTACACAGTACCAAGAAAGAAAAAGTAAAAATGGAGTGGCAGGAGAGAAGAACAAAACTTTTGTCCCAATTGACACCTAACCCCTATTATATAGCAAAAAAAGTAAAAGGATACAATAAAAAGGCTAAAAAGAGTTACAACAAAGGCAAGTTATTTAAGATTATAAAATACTAGTCTGGAGGACTGTACGAGTCAAGTTTGGAAAAGTATAGGTTGTCTAATTTAGATTTAAATGTTGGGAGCGAGGTTATACATTTCATGTTGGGTGGAAGAGTATTCCACCCAATAAATTTCTTTAACATTCTTGACTGCGTTAGCTAATTTGCAAATGCTGTCTACAAACTAGACATGTTGCTGTAAATAAAAAGAAAATATCCTTATCAAGGTCATGTTCTTTAGTAGTACCACAATGGCACATCACCCTTTCTCAAGAATGCAACACTGTTAATAAAAGCTACCTGTGGAAGTGCCTGACTACAACCCCAATAACTTCAAATCAAACTTAATTTAACTACAATCTATAATTATATACCTTTACATATGTTTCCTTGTAATACTTTTTTGTTGCCTCAGAAACCTTCCAACCAGATGATTGTAATTCTCGAATCTCAAGTAGCCGAAACCTAGAGTACTTTGAAACCTCTCCAGAAATTAACTTATCACTGATCATCTGGAATGTCCTCTCTGTATTCACAGGACATTTTTCTTCAAGAAACTTCCCACAGGCTTTAAGAATGTCACACTGAGCATCACAAAATGCTTCACTGGCCCATAAATTTGGAGCAAGAGGTTTGCTGTATGGCCACAAAGCCCTGGCAATTTCTTCCAAGTAGCTCTGAACAGCCTCCACGTGTGAAGAAGGAAGACCAGTTAACCTGCTTAGGTTATACAGGAGAGAAACAACATTAAACTGCAGAGTGTTTGGAGTACTGAGATGAGTTAGTGCTTTCAATAATCCGTCACAAGCCATTTCCAACTCTGTAAGCAATGAGGTACCATTCTTCTCATTGACAAGGTCATAGAAGAGCTGTGCAATAATTGGTTCTTTATATCTGTCAAGCCCACAACAGGAGCAAAACACATTGAATATTTCTTTGGTGTTCTCCAGCTCACCTAACAAGGTCTGACAAGTCTTCAAAACATTTTGTGAATTCTTACTACCATTTGCCAGGGAATATAGTTGTTTTTCAAGTTCAACCAGCCTGGGTTTATTTCTACAAAAATCGACCCTTTCCACAACTGGACTACAGATGGAATTTTGAGAAGTTCTTCTAATGAGAAATTTCTGATCTTCAGAGGGTCTTCTTGTCTGCGAAGCTAGAGCCATCATCACTATGTCTTACTTCCCAATACAATATATATCTGTAAAGGAAAAATAATATTTTTAAACATTAATTGATAGGGCATGTGCAATTGCACATACATGCCAGTGTTTGCTAATTTTCAATCTAAAACAGTTTTCCCTTTAACAGTGTATGTTTATTCACAATACCAGGGAGGGGCAGTATTCTTTGTAATTATTCTCTAGTAGATAAAATATCAAATTAGTTTAGTTTATTAGATTCGTCGATAGGCAGGGACACCACAACAGCTTGCGCCAATTACTGCGGGCCCAGTAAACCCACCCACATCCCACCCCAAGGGAGGACATCCATCACAGTAATCTTGTGCGTGGGAAATTAACGTCTCCTACCCCCAACCCTGCAGGAGACGGACCCTCCATTTATTCGTCCCTATCTGAGAAGACTAGAGTATCCAACCATTTCTTAATGTTATAGAAAGGTAGCAAATTCTGCTCAATTATTTTAAGACCTTGAGTGTTGGTCCGGCCGGGGCTCGAACCCTCGCCCTCACGCACAACAGTCCCGCGCACTATCCCTTGGGCTAACTGGGCGGCGGTTAAAATTGTACTGTGACATCTTAATTGGTGTAAAACCTGTAAAGAATTCCAGCTATCTGGTTCTTATCTTGTGGTTTAGGGTTTTCATAAGGAAATGTACTAGCCCTACATGCAGTGAATAGTTACCTAAATGCACGAAACAACTATGATTTTTTCATTTACATCTGGGAACGATTTCTGTATCACCCTACAGTACTCTAAAACAAAGCCTTAGTCCCTAAGCTAAATTAGAAATTTCGCCATTGTTTTCGTTTATCATGACACCACATGCATATGAAGCTGGGGTTCTGCGAAAATCTTACCGAAAGAAAAAAAAAGGAATTCCAGAGGCTGGACATGAGATCTAAAAACTTGTGTGAATAAAAAAAATTACCTGCCTCAGTCCCTTTGCAATTTCCCTTAAATTACTTTATATACAAGTCAAAATGGATTGATTACAATTACAAGGTTCGGTTTCAGGTTAATATTTAAGGAAATCGCAAAAATTTAACAAAAGACAAGAAACGATCATGGAACCAGTAAACGTTTGCTAGTTTAGATAACTTCAAGCTTATAAAAATCTTCCGCTAGCAATTCAACTAAAGAATTTAGAAGGTACTATGTTTTTAAAAAAGCTGTTTGTACATTTCCTTAGAAGCTGTATTGTTTCCACAAAACGTTTTTGTTTCCCATGACGATTTTTTGAAAGGAAATATAAACATCGATATTATTAACCTTGACAGTCTAAAGTGAGGTTGAAAGAGCGATTTACTTCCGTCCTTTTAATAAAATTGATCTTCCTGCCCGAAAGATAAGCTTGTCACATCAGTTAGCTTTAAATAAAAAATTTTCCGTGGAAAAGGTGTGAACTTTTGTCGTCGGACATCAAACGACAATTCCGACTGAATCCATTCGAACCCAGCCGAAAAAAAGGATATCATGTTTTAAAGCAGGAGTCTTAGAAAGAATCAACAAATTCCCCTAAATTAAGGAGGAGTGAAGAATTCTCAAACACCCCGCTCCGAGGTGTATACGCGCAGAGACTCTCTCGAACTGATCCTCGTGGCTTCCCAACAAGAGACATCCGGCAGTTAAAATACATATTAACAAAGGCAAAACATTTGACAGCATCAATACGATTCATTGTGCTTTATAATGTAACTAGTAGCTTACTTCATCGTACCTTTCGGGGAGAAGCCATAACCTGCTGAGATTACCAGTAAACACAGCTTGCGAAGCACGGCCTGAACTGTGAGCGTCATACGAGACAAACTTTCCCGGTCAAGCTCATCTACAAATCCCGTCACGCTTTGCGTGAGTTAAGACTGCTCGCATGGGTGGGGTGGAGGGGAATTGGGAAAGGCGCAAGGATTTGAGTCCTCCCTCCCCCAAGAATTTTTGAACAGTTAGACTAAAGTTTGACTGACTTACGATCTCGGCTAACAAAGCTGGTATCTCATTATAAAGTTAGACATATCATGTTTGTCCACTTACGTGAAAATATGACTGTAACAATGAAGGCTGTTTGGATATGATCATTTTGGTTTCAACATCAGAGTTTATTGTCTAAATTGGCCACCGTTCGTTAGAGGGAATGACGAAAGCTAACGCTCGAAACGTCTGCTTTGAAATTCTTTACGTTGGCCAATTCACATTATTAACTTGGTTGAGAAAACCAGAATTACTTTGTTACTCCCACCGACGCGACATCACAGTTTTTTTTAGAAATTTCCCCCCTTTATTGTTTGGATATGAGACTTATCACATGCTTCGATTATCTTCTGATGCCGTGACAAAGGAAAAAAAAAACATATTTGGAGGGTTCAGTAAACTTTGCAATTTCAATGCCTCTTAGTCTTGCCCTCTTCAATGAACTCTTCTTGGTTCGATTTCCCCGTTCTCTCGATTCCTTTGTTAGTTTAACTTGCTGAAGAACTTCCCCAAGTTCTTGGTTCCACTTGTCTAGCTAGTTATCGAGCTTGCATGACTTATCGCGTGTGGATTTCCCTAAGTTTATACCCCGACGTTCTATTTATGGAATCTTAACAACCTCGGGCAACATTAGAAAATTAAGAATCAAGAATATTTGGAAACTGAAACACAATTTTAATGACCAAAGAAATAAAGAGTTGGAACAAGATCTACTTGCACATTTTGGACGATTACCATCATGCAATAGTATTTTTGGCCAACATCACTACAAATCAATTTTTTTTCCATAGACGGTCATGAATACTACGATACACATCATTATTGTTACACAACATTCTGTTACTATGGTTCCTGGAAAGCCTTGTGCGAGCCTCTCTATGGGTATTTCCGAAGAAATCGAAGACGCGGAAAAACCGAAGATCTCAAGATTGAAGCGAAGACCTAAAAATTGACCAAAATTTGCGTGATCAAATTGAATACTCAAATATAAAACTGTCCAAACCCGTAAACACTGACCTTATGTACGACAAATTTAGATTTTAAGGCGACTTCTTTGTTTGCAATTGGGATTTTTTTTTCCTGACAAAATGGTTCCATTTCTCTTTTCAACGGGCCTGTTTTTTTCTTTTTCTCTGTCCAAGGACTATTCTCTAATTTTGATCTATGTGAAAAGACTTTCCACCAGCAGAGAACTTCCACGTCTGAGTGTTATGAAGTGCGCGTGCGCGATGCAAACAAAATATGCAAATAACATGAAATTGCCGCGATACTCCCCCAGGGGGGTTCGTTTAAATGATAATAGAATATCAAGTGATAAATTTGGTCTAGAGTTTATATTGCTTTTCGAATTTAAACAGTGAGTTATGCAATTTTCTTTTGAAGTGAAATATTTATCAACTGCGAATAACACTGAGTAAACCTTTAAACTATTTCAATCCGGAAAACGAATATCTTCCTAAAAAAAAAAGATTTGCAAAAAATTATGGTGTAATGGCGATTCATGATGCGTTTCATCTTTTAGACGCGATTTTGCTGGTGTGTTAATAGACTGGTTATGACGCCATCTGCCGGGTAACGCATCCGCACCTTCGGAAATGATACGAAACTGAACTTACGCAGCAGCCTATTTATAGAGAAGTTTGTCTTGAACTGAAGTGAACTCAGTTCTCTCAAAGGAAACCTTACAAAGACCTCGTACTCAAAGACCCATTGAGGTAAGTCGGTCCTGTGATTACAAGTGTTTATAAAAATACCGTTCGTGGCTTAACAACCTCTCCTTGAGGCGAAGTTTGCTCTCAATTCCACATGATTTCCGCGATTTAAATGGCTACATTTAGCGTATATTACATGCCTTAGAGTTAGACTGTTTTTTTGTCTTTTTTTGAGGTCGTTGAGCAAGAGAGTTTCAGCGCACCCACCAAATAACAGTCCACAGCCGAAAGTTCGCTTCCAAAAAACATACGTTGGAGAAGTTAAAACTGAAGAAAAACGAGTAAAGGCCTCATTCCTTGTGATCATTCTTTTGAAAACATGGTTAACAGCGGTCTTGCTCTCCATCGAAGTATACTCGTATGGTCTCGAAACCTCAGAGTAGTAGGCTTTTTTTCGATATTTCTCTACAGCGCTTTATCGACCTTTATCAATCCCTTGTTGATCATCGTTGTGATGACTCTATTTTGATAGTTTAAATAATTCAAAAGTGCCAAAACATTCAATTTTCAGCAGCCGCGTCGCAAAACAAAAAAAACAGCCTTGGAGACAGTTGCAGAAAGCAAAGATGGCCGAACAGCGCTCGGTATGTTCTGTGTTTTGTTTCCCTTCTTGTTATTGTTGTTTTATTATTATTACTATTATTGTTTGAATTTTCATGTAATTTTGTAGCAGCATGTATTTAAGATTTCTCGTAGCAAGTGGGACTATGGAAAACAAAAATAAAAGCTTTTAAACGTTCTCCAGAACCCGTCGATTTCATTACATTTGTAATTATAATCTGTATCATGACCGATCCATTCTTAGGCATTTATCGAAATATTTCTTTTTAAAATAATTTCCCACAGAATTCCTCCCTAGGCTTTGATGAAACATCGAAGATATGGATTGAACCATTCTCCACTCTAATAAATAGTATGTTTCCAGTAGAATACATCTATGCAGATTGGTTTGGATGGCAAGCAAACAATGAAGCACAGAGGGCAGATACAGAATCTCTCTTTAGTTTATCTGAAGACACTTTAGAAGCCGGAAGTCGAGCAGAAGGCTTTTGCATTCCCCAGTTCATTCTCCGAAAAAATGCCATGGATGATGGCAATGCCCTTGACGTGGAAGAACATTGGCAGTGTGATCTAGACTTGATGACATCAATGGAATCCTTTATAGAAATCAACGGCGAAAAAACACGCATACCTATATTCACAGTTGAACATCTAGAAGATGACCCAAAGTTTGTTAAGCTTCGGTTGACAGAAGAGTGGAAAGAGCATTGTCCGCGTTATAAGAACGTTTCTTACCTTCATAAGTCATTTTTGCTTCCTTCAGCAGATCATCAACTGCAAGGTACGGAGTCGACTTCTTTTCATGGCAAAAAGAGCAAATGGTCATGCACGCTTCGAGGTCCTGGGCGTAAACTTAAGTCCAATGGATTTCTCACTTACGAAAGGGATGAAACAAATGTGTTCAGGTATCCAACCGCATGACTCGAACCTGCCATGGAGTGGTTGATTCGACCACGCCCAAGTGGTTGGCCCTCGGTTAACCTTATGCAAGAAATAGTTGACTCCGGTTGTCATTTGGCTCCTCGTGGCAGAGGGAGGCGCATTCACGAGCCTGTGGAAGTGCTTAAGTATTGCCAAAACCCGGAACTCTCTGATGTTGGGTCTACTGCACAAGCCTCTTCGTCCGTATCTAAAGACTGCCTTAAAATCATGGACAACACAGAATGGAAAACATCCTTCTCAGTGGCCGAAAATAAGCTCGGGGAAAGTGTATCGCCCGTCCAGCGACATATAATAGTTTTGTGAAAAATGATCAAGAAATTTTACCTTCCAAAGGTGGTTTCCACGTTCTGCTTCAAAACTATTATGTTCTGGGAATGCCAGAATAGACATAAGGAATTTTGGGGAGAAGTAACTCTGCTAAATGCATTCTGGTTATGTTGGATCGCCTTCAAGAGTGCTTGGAAACCAATTTTCTTCCACATTTCTTTATCCCACGGAGCAATCGTTTACAGTATGAAGATCCTACCAAACTTAAAGAAGCCGCCGCCATTGTCTCCGATGTAAGAAGAAACATTTTGTCAAAGACAATGAGTTTGCTGAAAAGGCTCCAGTCACTGAGTTATCTGTCACACCTATACCTAGGGAGTCTCGGTGCTCAACTCGACAATCATCTGCATGTAAGAAATACAAGATAAGAATCTCTCTGAAAAAGATCACAAAGAGCTGCTCGTATCTCTCCTTGTCCTATTTGTACAGAAATGCAAGGAAGTGATAAAAAGTTTGATTTAAACGATTCCTATCTGTGAGCGTCAAAATATAGAAAAAGAATTGAATATTTGTTTATATGTTTACCAATCGATACTTGCAAGGAATCTGTGCAAGCTGTGGTCTACCAAGAGCAAGAATAGTGCCAAAAATGATGAACAGGCGAAAGCGTATGATTTCACGTCATTCGTAAAGGAAGAAGTTAAGAATCTTTCTTTGGGTGAGGACTTCGTTTCACTGTCCTTTCATTACTTTCAAGAAGTGAAAAACGAAGAGGAACCTTCTATGGCGGTTCCATCTTCACGAGCGATGAAACACGTTCGAGAAGAGCAAACTAAAATCGCTGTAAGAAACGCGGAATTTCCCCTTACATTGCACAAAAGAACGTTTGCGGACTTGTTGAAGGCCTCTGACTTGAAGACAATTGTTGAAAACGTATTTAGGAATCGGAGATGGCGCGCTTATTACTCAAGAAGAAATGGACAAATTGATAAACCAGGAAATTGCAGCCTTTTTGGTAGAAAAATACGAAAGGAAACGTTAATAAATTCATGTTAATCGTTCTACCGAATAGAAATCGCTGAACAGATATAAGAACTAGCTTAAGATGATCTCTGGAGTGGAAAGATTTGTTTAAAAAGAGAGAAATTGTTAGATAAGATGAGCTCTGGGGTGGAAAAATTTGTTGAAAAGGAGAAAATTGTGAGATATCGTGGCCCATAATAATTTTTAGTGTATCACCAGTATCCACCGTCAGTTGCATTCATAAATTGTCTGTCTTAAAGTAAATGTCAATATAAAACAATGTTGACAACTGATCGCACTTGTACAAATATGTACAAGCATACAGATCAAATA